GGAGAGGAGGTCATCAAGACAGAGTTTCTCTGCATAGCCCTGGTTATCATGGAACTCACTCTGCAGACCAGGCTGGCCTCAAACTCACATCTGTTGCCTCTGGGATTAAAGGTGTGCACTACCACCCAATTTCTTTCTTTCTTTTTAAAACTTAACATAAGCTAGAGTCATTTGAAAAGAACCTCTTTTGAGAAAATGTCCCCACTCAGACTGCCCTGTGGGCAAACCTTAGGGCATTTTTCTTAATGAGTGATGTAGGTGGGTCTATTCCCTCACTGAGGTTAGGTACCAAGTCTGAGCACAGCACATGGAGCAAGCCCATAAGAAGCATCTTCCTGGCCTCTGTACCAGTTCCTACCACCATGATCCTGCCCTGACTTCCTTTGATGACATAGTGTGATGGGAAGTGGAAGGAAGGAAGTGACCTCTTTTCCCCTCAAGTTGTGTTTTGGTCATGGTTTTACCACAGCAATAGAAACCTCAGGTGCTGGTAGAGAACAGGAATAGTCTGCTGCTGTTGTGGCAGACATCACATCCCACCTATACCAACTTCCTCTTTTGGCCAACCACAGTGGGCTGCTTTGGCTTCTCATCTCCCTGACAGGTGTGCCAGCGAGCAAATGCTTGACACTCTCCAGGCTTCAGGACTGGGCAAAGTCAGGCCCCTCCTCTGGGACTCTTACCTTAAAAACATGGACCCAGTCAGAAATTAAATCCTTAGAGAAGATTTCCCTTCATAGCAAAAGCATGAAGCAGCCCTGGCCATAGGTCCATGTCCTGCCTAGAGCTTTGGTGGCTCTTCCTGGACAGTAGCCCCTGTTCTATCAGGGCTGAAAGTATAGCAAGAAGGAGGAGATGGAGAAGGAAAACCACCAGCCTCTATCTAGCTCTCTCACCAAGCTAAGCACTGACCACGGCAGGAGCCACCACCTAAGGCAGAGGGCCAGACAGTTCTCTTCCTGCCAGACAAGAGCATGAAGGCTCTTTCTACCTGATAAAGTGTATAAATCTGGCAGGGTCCAGGGTCCAATATCCAGAGGGAGCCAAGGTCCTGGCTTCCAGACACAGCCAGGGAATAATGCTGACAGGTAAACAAGACTCAGGCAGAACCTTGTTCCCCACCATTTTCTAACTGTGGTTCCTGGGCTCTCAGAGGCAGGAGCTAAATTCTTGCTAAGTCCCTGAGGGCAAGGGTTGTGGGGCCCAAGGGCCTAGCCCCACAGGGTGCTTCTGAGCCATCAAGCCTCACTGAGCCCATCAAGCTACTCTCACCACCTCCCAGGGTTTTCTGAGCCTCAGGTATGAACGCTTCAAACCAGCACAGCTATGGAATATGGTGGGCACGGGCAAGGTCTACTTTCCTTCTAGAAAGCCTGTATGGTATTTGGTGTCTGCACACCTGCCCTCTTGCTTCTGGGTTGTCTGTTCCTATTTGTCCTTCAGCATCATCTTCTCAACACTGAACTACAGTGTTACCCTTTGAAGCTCCTTTTAAATCTCTCTCTTATTTCCTGCAAGACTAGGAACAATTTAAACATCACCATCTTTGGGGGAGAGGGACACCCCACCCAGGAAGGGAGGAAGAGAAATAAACCACAGCGAAAAAGTCACACTAGGAGACAGGAGAAAGGGAAGCTGAAAGCAACTCTGGACACTGATCTCCAAGTCAGAGATAACCAGCAAATCGCCTCCTAACAAAGGAAGACACTGAGAGGTGTGGGTCTGACGCTTCTCCAGCAAGGCTGCTTGGGCTTGCTTCCCACTTGGAGCCTGTGTACGTAAAGGCTCCATGCAGGTCGACTTACTTCCCCAACCTGATTGCTGTCCACCCCAGAAAAGCGGGGGAGGAGGAGCAGGTTCTGCTCTCAGAGTTTGTGTGTTTGTTTTCCAGAGCTGAGGACTGAATCCAGGGCCTCAAGCACTCTAGCACTGAGCTAAATCCCTAACCCTGGGTCCTGCTCTTGGAGGTTCCATTCCCGTCTGCCTTGTACCCCCAAGTCCATTTAGCCCTTTCCCTGTTTACCACTGCCAGGAAAGGGAAGTGCCAGAAGTTTGATGTCTCCTTGAAGGCTGCATGTCCACTCGGGGACTCACCCCTATTCTGCCAGTCTACTTGGGCCAGGCCTGGGGAAAACCCAACTCACAGAAATAGGAAGTACCCAAAATTCCCTGCTCTGTTGCTTCTCCTGGTCCCAGCTGATCTTGACAAATCTAGGAGCAGACACAAAAATGGTGTACATCGCAGAGACAGGCTAGAAACATTGGAGACGTCCTTGGGAAAAGGACTGTGAGACTTTAGGGACAGCTACAAATGGCATTTACTTTCAGCAAAGACAAGTTAGTGATCTCTTAGTGTTTTCTCTTGCAGAACCACATCCTAGCAGGTTTTCTAAGCTGGACCTGTCTCCAAGAATGGATGCTCCAGGCCTTGTGCTTGGGCTGTGGGATGGAGACTCCT